AGTCTGGCCCCAAAGTGGCTCCTTTTCCCTCCCCAGGTGAGTGGAATTGGCCTTTGCTGACGCCCAGAGCTCTGGCTGCAGGCATCTCCATGGCCTTGGCAGCCTCCACCAGTTCCCTGGGCTGCTATGCCCTGTGCGGCCGGCTGCTGCATTTGCCTCCCCCACCTCCACATGCCTGCAGTCGAGGGCTGAGCCTGGAGGGGCTGGGCAGTGTGCTGGCCGGACTGCTGGGAAGCCCGATGGGCACTGCATCCAGCTTCCCCAACGTGGGCAAAGTGGGTCTTATCCAGGTATGTGGACCTGGGATGGGGGTGGGGTGGGGTGGAGCTAGAGGGGAAGGAGAAGGAAGGGAACTTATACCGATTGATTGCCAGGTGCGCCCAGCACCTCACATCAACTGTCTCACTTGGGGAGGTGCCTAAGATTAGACTTTGAGCTAAGAGAGTGGGGAAGTGAACGAATCACCATGGAACTCCTGTGCATGAGGCACAGTACCAAGGCTGGGGCAAAGAACCAGTCACATAAAGTTCTGCTCTCTTGGGGACTTCATAGAGGGAGACGCAGACAGTTGAAGGAAAAAAAGTATCTTTTTAAAAAAGTGGCCCGGCGCAGTGGCTCAAGCCTGTAATCCCAGCACTTTGGGAGGCTGAGACGAGCGGATCACGAGGTCAGAAGATCGAGACCATGCTGGCTAACACGATGAAACCCCGTCTCTACTAAAAAAATACAAAAAACTAGCCGGGCGAGGTGGCGGGCGCCTGTACTCCCAGCTACACGGGAGGCTGAGGCAGGAGAATGGCGTGAACCTGGGAGGCGGAGCTTGCAGTGAGCTGAGATCCGGCCACTGCGCTCCAGCCTGGGCTACAGAGCGAGACTCGTCTCAAAAAAAAAAAAGTGGGTCAGGGCCAGGCGCAGTGGCTCAAGCCTGTAATCCCAGCACTTTGGGAGGCCGAGACAGGCAGATCACGAGGTCAGGAGATCGACGGCTAACACCGTGAAACCCCGTCTCTACTAAAAAATACAAAAAACTAGCCAGGCGAGGTGGTGGGCGCCTGTAGTCCCAGCTACTTGGGAGGCTGAGGCAGGAGAATGGCGTGAACCCGGGAGGCGGAGCTTGCAGTGAGCTGAGATCTGGCCACTGCACTCCAGCCTGGGCAACAGAACGAGACTCCATCTCAAAAAAAAAAAAAAAAAAGTGGGCCAGGCATGGTGGCTCATGTTGTAATTCTAGCATGTGGGGAGGCTAAGGCAGGCGGATCACTTGAGGCTAGGAATTCAAGACCAGCCTGGCCAACATGGTAAAACCCTGTCTCTACTAAAAATAGCTGGGTGTGGTGGCGTGCACCTATAATCCCAGCTACTCGGGAGGCTGAGGCAGGAGAATCGCTTGAGCATGGGAGGCAGAGGTTGCTGTGAGCCAAGACCACACCACTGTACTCCAGCCTGGGCAACAGGGCAAGACTCCATCTCAAAAAATAAAAAAATTTTTAAAAAGTGAAGAAAATTTCAGAAGGCAGCCAGGCGCGGTGGCTCAAGCCTGTAATCCCAGCACTTTGGGAGGCCAAGACAGGCGGATCACGAGGTCAGGAAATCGAGACCATCCTGGCTAACACGGTGAAACCCCGTCTCTACTAAAAAATACAAAAAATTAGCTGGGCGAGGTGGTGGGCGCCTGTAGTCCCAGCTACTCGGGAGGCTGAGGCAGGAGAATGGCATAAACCCGGGAGGCAGAGCTTGCAGTGAGCTGAGATCCGGCCACTGCACTCCAGCCTGGGCGACAGAGCAAGACTCCGTCTCAAAAAAAAAAAAAAAAAAAAAAAAAAGAAAATTTCAGAAGGCAGTAAGTGTTATATAAAAAAATCAGGATAGCGGGATGGAAAGGAGGCACATTAAGACTGGCCAGGGAGGCTTCTTGGAAGAGTAACATTTGAGCTGGAATCCAAATGATGAGAAGGAACCAGTAAGGCAAAGACCTGGGACAGTCCGAGGAAGTGGTTGTGTTTTCCAGTGTCTTTTCTTCACGCAGGCTGGATCTCAGCAAGTGGCTCACTTAGTGGGGCTACTCTGCATGGGGCTTGGACTCTCCCCAAGGTTGGCTCAGCTCCTCACCACCATCCCGCTGCCTGTGTTTGGTGAGTGGATGTATCAACAGGGCTGGTATTGAACTGGTACTCCCCAGTGTGGCCCGATCAGTTCTTTAGGATGGCACCTTTTCTTTCTAAATAGCTTTCCTGGATGAATGGATGGATGGATAGATGGATGAATGGATGGATATGGGCATGTGTCAGTCTCAATTTCTCAGCCTAACATCTTGGTCTCTTGATTGGGCTTCTGGGCTTCCTGAAGAATCAGAAAACCTCAGACCGGGCATGGTGGCTCACACCTGTATCCCAGCACTTTGGGAGGCCCAGGCAGGCAGATCACTTGAGGTCAGGAGTTCGAGATCAGCCTGGTCAACATGACAAAACCCTGTCTCTAATAAAAATACAAAAATTAGCCAGGCATGCTGGCTCATGCCTGTAATCTCAGCTACTCAGGAGGCTGAGGCAGGAGAAATTGCTTGAATCCAGGAGTAGGAGGCGGAGGTTGCAGTGAGCCGAGATTGCACCATTGTACTCCAGCCTGGGTGACAGAGTGAGACTTGTTCTAAAAAAAAAAAAAAAAAAAAAAAAAAAAAAATCAGTCTCTTGGGTTTTATTTTTTCCCCATTACAACCTGCTTGCCCTGCAATACTCCACACTATGTGAGCCCCCTTGATTCCTCCTGACCCCCTTGATTTCTTCTGTATGAGACAGGTGGGGTGCTGGGGGTGACCCAGGCTGTGGTTTTGTCTGCTGGATTCTCCAGCTTCTACCTGGCTGACATAGACTCTGGGCGAAATATCTTCATTGTGGGCTTCTCTATCTTCATGGCCTTGCTGCTGCCAAGATGGTTTCGGGAAGCCCCAGTCCTATTCAGCACAGGTAGGTGGAAGGGAAGAGGAGTTGCTCAGTAGCAGGAAAGCAAGGAGTTGAGGCTCAGGCTCCCCGGACTCCTGGCCCCACAGCCTTCTCTGGGCTTTGGTGTAAATACTTCATTCATTTGTTTAATGGATATTTATTGAGCACTATGCTAGCCATTTGGGATACAAAGGTGCCTCCCTTTATTACAGCATAGTAAAAGAGATGAGATGTGTAGGAAAATAACAAGAAAGGTTCAGATGAAGACCTATGGTGCTCAGTGGCAAGAGAGATAGCTTCTGTTTGAGGTGATCCAGTAACAGAGCTGGTCTTGAAGGATGGTAAGTTTTAAACATCTTTGGTGAGAAGGTCATTCCTGATGAAGGAACCATCATTTATACAAAGACACAGAAGTGGGAAGTCTTAGGATATGTCCTGAGAGCAGTAAATTGCTTAATTTGTCCCACCCAGTTCTCAACTGGGTGATTTTGCCCCCATGGGGACATTTGGCAATGTCTGGAGACATTTTTGGCTGTTATACATGGAGGAAGAGGGAGTTGTTACTAGGGTTCAGTGCATAGAAAGATGCTGCTAAACATCCTACACTGTACAGAACATCCCCCCTGTACCACCACCCCCAACCAAGAATTATCTGGTCTAAGATGTTAGTAGGACTGAGGTTGAAAAACCCAGGATAGAGCATAGAGGGTAAAAACTGGGAGATGAGGTTGGGGCTTAAATACTAAGCTTTCTAGAGAAAGGGAACCTGGAATAGTCAAAGCGTATATGGAGGGTGTGTGGATGATCAAAACATAGGGTGTTGAGCAAGAATCCTGTGAGAAAGGCCTGGATTTGGAAAGTGGAGAGTAGACAGACAAAGGGTGAGAGGGATGAAATGACAATTCAGAAAGATCTGTCCTTAGTCCAAGACTTAGGTTTAGGTCTGGGAGGGCAAGACTCCTGGGCTTGGATATAGGATCAGAGTTCCCTTCCTGCCTGGCCCCAACCCTTCATAGGCTGGAGCCCCTTGGATGTATTACTGCACTCACTGCTGACACAGCCCATCTTCCTGGCTGGACTCTCAGGCTTCCTACTAGAGAACACGATTCCTGGTAAGTTGAGGCCAGGCCCCAGCAGACTGGGGAGTGGCCAGGAAGCCATCCCTCCCTGGGATGGGCAATGGCCTGACAAACTTCTCTTTTGCAGGCACACAGCTTGAGCGAGGCCTAGGTCAAGGGCTACCATCTCTTTTCACTGCGCAAGAGGCTCGAATGCCTCAGAAGCCCAGGGAGAAGGCTGCTCAAGTGTACAGACTTCCTTTCCCCATCCAAAACCTGTGTCCCTGCATCCCCCAGCCTCTCCACTGCCTCTGCCCACTGCCTGAAGACCCTGGGGATGAGGAAGGAGGCTCCTCTGAGCCAGAAGAGATGGCAGACTTGTTGCCTGGCTCAGGGGAGCCATGCCTTGAATCTAGCAGAGAAGGGTTTAGGTCCCAGAAATGACCGGTATGCCTACTTCTGCTCTGGTTAATTTAGCACTAACTCTCATCTGCTGGAGAATCAGCTCCCAAACTGTTCTTTCTCGTAGGCAGAGGGTATGTGTGTGTATATTACATGGGCCTGCCTAGAGGTTCCATTTCCTAGTAGGGTGGGTTGCCTTTCCTTGTCTTAATTAGGCCTAACTATTCCAGAGCAGAGGCCATGATTTAGCGGACCATGAATGAATGAGATTTTGCCTGTGTACTATCAATGCCACTTGAACCCCAGCATTCACTTTAATACTTATTGAGCATCTCCCATGTGCAAGGTCCTGGAACTACAGGGTTAAGACAGGGTCCATGCCCTCTCAAGGCATTTACGGTTTAAAAAGACCTTTGTAATTACTAACGAAAATGCAAAGCAAAAAGCAATCTGTAATAAAGATTAAAATAATGCTGTGGGAGCAAAGAGGAAGGGATAATGAATTCTGATTGGGGACAGTGGGAAAGGCTTTATGCAAGAAGCAATGAGGATGGCCTTGACAAATGAGGAGGATTTTTGGTTTTTCAGGTTCGAGGTCCAGCTTGAGCAAAGCTATGAGTTGTACAAAGTCCAAGATAGCTGAGGGGTTTCAAATTTCTCAGTAGTGAGGAGCATAAGTACGGGGATGATGGAGAAATGAGGCAGGAGAGGTAAAGGATGAGATCAGATTATGGGACTTATGCCTGGGAGACTCCTTCCTTCAACAACTCTAGTGCTGGTGGAGGACCTGAGAGAACTTACCTACGGAACTTCCATGCCTTATTTTGTTAAAAAGAGACTGGACAGGTAGGGGAGGGAAGAGAAGTGACTCAAGTTTGACAAATCCAAACCCGGGCTCCCCTTTCCTACGCTTGGCCCGCTATTCCTTCTACTCGGCCAGCGTGACTTCAAGACGCGCCACTACCTCTCTACTAGCTGGCCGCCCGGCCTCTCCTCCAGTTACCCTGCCACTGCGGCGCTCCTCTCATCAGCGTCCCAGGCCCAGAAGCCCCGCCCATGCCAGGCATAGGCCCCGCCCCTGTGTCCCAAGACCCTGCCTCCTCTTGGCGGGGGGGGAATCGGCCTCTTACTCTAGGCCTTTCGGTTTGCGCGAGCGGGCAAGAGAGCGTGCGTGCGGCGAGGAGGGTAGGCGCTCTCGCTGCCGCTGACGGTAGGTGGAATCGCACTCGAGTCCGGGCAGGAGCAAGCCAGGGAAGGGCTGCTCAGACGCTGCGGGTTGGGCCTGGCTCGGGCATTTTCTACTTGGAGGGAGCGCGCGCTGCCGGGTACCAGGTAAGGCCTCCGGGGGTAGGCGGGGCCGCGCGTGCGCAGTCCGCCGGCTGCGGCCCGGCGTGGATGGTGCGGCTCGAGTGAGGGTATTCCTTGGCCGCCTGTTTGGTGCGACGAAGCCTCCAGTGGCCGGCTTTGTTGCCCCTTGAAGGATCCCGAGCCGCGTCCCAGTGCAGCCAGTGCTGTAGAAATGGGAAGGCGGATGGCGAAGGCTCTTCTAGCTGGGGCGGGTGGAAGGGGGACGCCCGGCGGCTCCTGGGGTGGGGCTGTGATTATGGGACCTAGGGTTCGCGTTCTCCCAGGGGGACCGGGCGGGGCCCAGCCGCGATGCTCTCTGGGCCCCTACTGCCCTCTGCAGGGCATCGGAGGAACTGCCCGGAGCAGTCACTGCTGAGGAGCAGAACTCGATGGAGATTACGGTTCTCAAGGGACCCCTCCGCCGGGATGCCCCTCAGCGCCCCTCCACTCAAGAGAAATAAACCCGTAAATCTGGTTAATGTGAATGCTAAAGGCAGCCTTGAAGCAAAAAAGAAAAGAATGAAATGTGGAGGCCTCGGACGCAGAACGGGACGCGTGTGGTGGGAGCAGGCAGCCGGGGTCTGGTGCCCAATGTGTCAGGCCGCCTTTTTATAGGGCCAGTTACTGCTGGCCGCATTTTAAACTCCTCCCCCTTTACCCAACAAACAAACAAAACCCATCAATTTGAGGGTTCTGAACTTCCGGGCTTTCCGAAGGAATGGGCTAGAATAGTAAATCCAATTTTGGCAACAGTTAGAGTACACTGGGGTGTGCCTATAAGGGAGATGAAAGGGTTTGGCGACTTTATTTGCGTTTGTGACCTTTGGCAATGTGGCGCTCTTGTCCAGCTAGGACTGGCTTAATCATCCCATGACCACTTCTGTCCCCATAAGAGCAGCATGTGGGAAATGTGACGGAAACACCATCCTCCAAACACAAGGCTTTGAGGATGCCGTAAAGAAAGATCACCATATATATGTATCTATGCATATATATATATGTTATGTCACAAGTCACAAGGTCACACTTCAAAAACTAGGGGAAATGACAGTCAATCAGACTTAATAAAGAATTTCGTTATTTACATTCTAAATTTTTCCTTCCTGGTACTTCTCTTCATTTTGTATTTGTAGACTGGAATAATGAAGGAAATTGTCATCTTTTTTTTCTCCCCCACAGGAAAAACAATCACATTCTCTGTCAAGCAGCTGTAGTTCTGATTGTCTACTAGGTTAAGCCTACTACTTTAGCTGCTGAGATAGAAAAGTTGTTTTGCAGGGGTTCCAGGCTGGGCATGGTGTCGTTGGTGGCAGTGCACTGGAGTGGGAATGTGGAGGATGAGTTAAATGGAAGTTAATTCAGTCTTTACCTCTGTGATGTGCTCTGCCTTGTATTCATGATTTCCTAGTCATTCTGGTTCTTGCTGAAATGAAATTTAGGTCTTTTCTGTTGCTCCTGGACACAGGTTCTTAGCTCTTTTTGTGTCATGGATTCCTTTGAGAGTTTGATGATAGCTGTAGACCTCTTTCCCCCTCCCCATGCATATATACATGTATGCATAACATTTTCTTACAATTCTAGAGGATTCACATGCATTGACTCTAGATTAAGAATCTCTGTTTTAGGGATTTAAAAAAAAAATCCTGAGAGCTTCCTAAACTCTGTTTTTAGATAATGATCAAACACTTTGAATTTCCTGGCCCTGACACTATGACTTATGATGTTTTATAAGACAAGAACTATTCCTTCTCTTCTAGTTCTGGGAAAGGATAGCAGTGACATATTTATTAGCAATGTGATAAAGGTGGAATAAGAAGGGTTTAGGTTTCCACATTATGCTATAGTATTAGAAAGCAGAAATACTAACAGCAACATGTTGAGGCTTAAACACTGTGGAAGAAAGATTTTCTGTCCTCTAGGAACATAATATGGGGGAAAAAACCCTCAAGATTTTAAATATACTTTTAGTGGCCAAAGGTAGTAAAGTCAGTGATCAGCTGGGTGTATACTGGGAGAACGTAAATCCATGCCTTCTGTTTTATCAGGGAGGATTTTCATGAGATTTTAGTTGATACAGAGTGGTTTAGGTGGTACCCTTCTTAGGCCAGCATGACCCTGAGGCACTTTACTAAATGAGGACTTTTTTGCAGATGGAAGAACTGGAGCAAGGCCTGTTGATGCAGCCGTGGGCGTGGCTACAGCTTGCTGAGAACTCCCTCTTGGCCAAGGTTTTTATCAGCAAGCAGGGCTATGCCTTGTTAGTTTCAGATCTTCAACAGGTGTGGCATGAACAGGTGGACACTAGTGTGGTCAGCCAGCGAGCCAAGGTAAGTATGAAGAGAAGTACTGCTATGAGGTGGTGAGGATACCATTCTTTCCTAGTGAAGGTCGGGGATGTGAACATCAACCAGCTTGCTGGCCTGTAGATTCCCAAGGAAGGTTGAATTGGGTTGAGACAATTCCAGTTAATGTCCTGTACTTCTGCCTGTAGCCCTGGAATCTTCGTGTGTGTGTGTGTGTGAGAGAGAGAGAGAGAAAGAGAAAGAGAGAGAAAAAGTTAGTTTCTCTACCCTATGCATGATAATGAATATATTATTTGATCTAGATAGACCTTTTTTTTTTCCCCAAGGCAGAATTTTGAAGTAGGCCAGTTGATCTTTGTGACTGTCTTCTTTTTGTTTTCTTCTTTCCCGTTGTGATGTTTTTATCTTCTGTCCCCTTCCTCTCATGTCCGTTGTCTTCATGTTAACCAGGGCTTTCCTTTGCTGTTACTTATGAGGGAATTAGTTTCCTATTAGCACCCTTACTGTGTACCACTGCTGTCTGTTTAGGAGCTGAACAAGCGGCTCACTGCTCCTCCTGCGGCTTTCCTCTGTCATTTGGATAATCTGCTTCGCCCATTGTTGAAGGACGCTGCTCACCCTAGCGAAGCTACCTTCTCCTGTGATCATGTGGCAGATGCACTGATTTTACGGGTGCGGAGTGAGCTCTCTGGCCTCCCCTTCTATTGGAATTTCCACTGCATCCTAGCTAGTCCTTCCCTGGTAAGTGCAATTTGAATATGGGGTTGGGGGAGGGATGCCAGTTGCTTTGAGATGAAGCTTTAGGTGCTTTTATTTTTTTGCAAACTTTGAAATTCTCCAATCAGAAAACTTTCCTTGACTATACAGAAGACAGAAAGGATTCTTGACTGTTACATCCTTTCCTTGCAAAAGGAGCAGAGTATTGAGTGTCTTTTTGCATTAATTAATTTATTCAGCCCTTTTTTTTTTTTTTTTTTGAGACAGAGTCTCGCTCTGTTGCCCAGGCTGGAGTGCAGTGGCGCGATCTTGGCTCACTGCAAGCTCCCTCTTCCCAGGTTCATGCCGTTCTCCTGCCTCAGCCTCCCAAGTAGCTGGGACTACAGGCACCCACCACCGCGCCTGGCTAATTTTTTGTATTTTTAGTAGAGATGGGGTTTCACCATTCACAGGATGATCTCAGTCTCCTGACCTTGTGATCCACCCGCCTTGGCCTCCCAGAGTGCTAGGATTACCGGCGTGAGCCACTGTGCCCAGCCAATTTATTCAGCATTTTAAAAGCATCTACTATGGGCTAATTGTTGGTTATCCAGACCTGAAACAATATAGCCTCTTCCTGGAGTTCATAATCTAGTGAGAAGACAAACAGGAAATTATGATAAAGTATGATAGGTTCTTTGATTGAGGTAGACCCTGGATGATTGAGGATTAGAGAAGACCTCTTTGAAGAGACTGTTACTGAGCTGAGTTTTGAAGATGAGTAGGATAAAATAAATAGAAAAGTCATTGTAGGCAAGAGGTGTAGAGATGTGTAAGTGAGGGGCAAGTTCGGGAACTTCATGACTGCTGTGTAGATAGGAAGGCATGAGAAATGAGGGAGGCAGTGGCCAGATCTTGAAGGATTCTAATGAGTTTGGATTTTATCTCAAAGGCAACAGGATTCACTGAAAAACTTTAAACAGGAATTTTACATGATCCAATTCATGGTTTATCAAGAATATTCTGGCAACAGGGTAGAATATGTACCAGTGTTAGGTACCTTTCTAAACATTATCTCATCATTTAATCCTTGCAGCTGTACTTCAGGATAAGTATTATTGTCCCTGTTTTTCAGAGTAGGATACTGAGATTGAAAGTAACTTGTCCAAAGCCATCAGCTTATGAATAAATGAGCTGGAATTTGAATCCCAGAATAGTCTGGTCCAAAGCCTCATTTTTAGAGTAGGGGGATAATATACTCTACTAACTCATAGCTTTATGTTTCCCAAGAGATTTTATTAGAAATGAAGAGTGGATGTTAAAGACTAGTTTTCTGGAATAACAGACAGGGTTTCAGTCAGTAGCACTTAGGGGACAGGGTCTTCTTTGCGAAACCTAAGAGTATAGATTTGTTAGCAGAGGGATCGGAAGACAAGAGGACATCATTTTTTTCTTCTTTAGTCTCCCACAGGGGATGTGATGCTTTGGCATCAATGGAAGACTGGATAGAAAGAGTTTTTGAGAAACTGTTTGCTGATGTTTATTTTTGATCTGGAGCCCAGTAAAACTAGAACTGAGTGCTGAGAGAATTACTTATTCATTTATTAACTTCTAAGGCCTATCAACAGTGCTTAGCATATACTCACATTTGTTTATTTTAATTGAATTTCTTGTGAAATATTCCATCTTGTAAATAAATAAATAAAATTTTAAAAATAAATTAAAAAATAAAATTAGGCCGGGCGCGGTGGCTCAAGCCTGTAATCCCAGCACTTTGGGAGGCCGAGACGGGCTGATCGCGAGGTCAGGAGATCGAGACCATCCTGGCTAACATGGTGAAACCCCGTCTCTACTAAAAAATACAAAAAACTAGCCGGGCGAGGTGGTGGGCGCCTGTAGTCCTAGCTACTCGGGAGGCTGAGGCAGGAGAATGGCGTAAACCCAGGAGGCAGAGCTTGCAGTGAGCTGAGATCTGGCCACTGCACTCCAGCCTGGGCGACAGAGCGAGACTCCGTCTCAAAAAAAAAAAAAAAATTAAAAAATTTTTTTTGTAGAGATGGGGGTCTCTCTGTGTTGACCAGGGTGGTCTCAGATTCTTCACCTCAAGCAATCCTTCTGCCTTGGTGTTGGGATTACAAGCCTGGCCCCATCCCATATTTTATCTATTTGGTTTAAAACATTTAAACTTACTAAGTAACACCAGGGGGCAGTGTTTCCTCAATAATGTTTGTTCTGGGACCAAACCATTTGGGTGACCTTTGGGAATCCCTAGCAATAGCTAATCTCATTTTGCATTACATGGACCTAGAAATGCAGAATACGTAGTGTGATTGTGGAGGCAGTTCTCCTTGGAGCCTCATGGACTCTAATAGTTTCTTCTTTCAAAAGAATACAGTAAGGAACACTAGTATAATGATATTACAATTATATAATATCTATATTATATAGATTAGCATATAAATATATGTAATATATAATACATGTTATGTTAACATGTTATATTAATCTATATTAACATAATATATAATGATATAATGTAATATATAGTATAATATGTAATGATACAATATAACATGTAATATAGAATACAATATAATATAAAAGTATGTAAAGAAAAACTAGCTATTCTAGGCAAATTCCTCTAATTGGGGAACTACATTAAAGGAAAGAGACATCAGTGTTTAGGGAGGGATGAGTCTTGGTTTGCCATAGGAAGAAATTAGATTTGAGCAATTGATGAACAATTGTGCTTCAAGTTAAAATAAAATACTTATCATTAAAAGAAGAATGCCCCCCTAGGGAAATGCCTGAACCTGAGAGAGCTTTATATGGAAAAAGAGCCAGTGGACTCGGGTAAGGATGTAGGTGGATACTATTTCAGGCTTGTGTGTATGTCTGTAAGGTCACACAGTCATAATTTTTGTTTGTAACTCATTCTTGTGATCGTTTTCATTTAATTTTTTTGAATGAGTAATTCTTGAAAAAGGCAAACATTTCAAACAGCATTTAAGTGTATACAGTGAAAAAATAGGTCTTTCTACCCCTTTCCCTAGTCCCTCCTTTTCCTCCAAAGCAACTACCAATATCAGCTTCTTGTGAATTTTTAAAGCTATATGTGTATATACTGTGTATATATCCTCATATAACCAAATATATATCTGTGTATATGTGTATTTTTTGACAAATAGTATCCTGCTGTACACACTGTTTAGTACCTTCCTTTTTTCACTTAATTGTAGAACTTACCCACTGCTTCACTTGGCCAGCCTTAAAAAAAAGAACTTAGAGATTATTCATATCAACACATTCAGAGGACCTACCTTTGTGTTTTCTTTCTTTTTTTTTTTTTGAGACGTAGTCTCGCTCTGTCGCCCAGGCTGGAGTGCAGTGGCACGATCTCGGCTCACTGCAAGCTCCGCCTCCCGGGTTCATGCCATTCTTCTGCCTCAGCCTCCAGAGTAGCTGGGACCACAGGTGCCCGCCACCATGCCCGGCTAATTTTTTGTATTTTTAGTAGACACGGGGTTTCACCGTGTTAGCCAGGATGGTCTCGATCTCCTGACCTCGTGATCCACCCACCTCAGCCTCCCAAAGTGCTGGGATTACAGACGTGAGCCACCGCGCCCGGCCTGTGTTTTTTAATGGCAACATAGCATTTAATTTCATGAATGTATCATATATTTAATTGATCTGCTATTAGTAGACACCTAAGTCTTTTGTTGTTATATACGGTAACTATCCTTGTATTTACTTTTTCTGCATGTAAATGTGTGAGTAAATTCCCCTAAGTGGAATAGCTGGGTCAAGGAATATTTGTATCTTTTAATCTTGCCACATAACATAATGCCAAATTGTCTTTCAGAGACATTATGCAGCTTAACTCCTTCCAGTTATACAGGAAAGAGGAGAATACCGGTTCCTCATACTTCTCCAGCATAACATCCTCACATTAACAAGCTAATGGTTCCTAAGTCCACAAGGGTATTATGGAATATGTTAGGTTTTGGGTCTCTGTTTGCTTGCTTGCTCTCTCTCTCTCCCCCTCTCCCCCTCCTTTTCTTTCTTTTTCTTTCGAGATGAAGTCTCATCATATTGCCCAGGTTGGTCTTGAATTCCTCAGCTCAAGCGATCCTCTCACACTGGCTTACCAAAGAGTTGGAATTATAGCATAAGCCTCCGCGCTTGGCCCCAGGTCTCTGTGTTCTAACACTGAGTCCATCTTCATTTATGACAGACTTCATCTCTTTCTGTTTCCTGTTGTCTGTTCTTTCTAATGTCTAATATAAATTTTGATATTCCACATTTTAGCTTTCAGATTTGTCATGTCTTTGGACATTTTTTGATTCCTAGGAGCCACATCCAAAGGTTTCTTTTCTTTTTTTTTTTTTTGTGAGACGGAGTCTTGCTCTGTCGCCCAGGCTGGAGTGCAGTGGTGCGATCTTGTTTCACTGCAAGCTCCACCTCCCGGGTTCACGCCATTCTCCTGCCTCAGCCTCCCGAGTAGCTGGGACTACAGGTGCCCACCACCATGCCCGGCTAATTTTTTGTATTTTTAGTAGAGACGGGGTTTCGCCGTGTTAGCCAGGATGGTCTTGATCTGCTCAAGACCAGGTGGATGACCTCGTGATCCACCTGCCTCAGCCTTCCAAAGTGCTGGGATTACAGGCGTGAGCCACCGCGCCCGGAGGTTTCTTAGTGGCAGAAAGAGATAGGTTTTAGAACCAGCAGACTTGAATTTGTAACTCAGCTCCACCACTTTGAGACTACTTGTATTAATTTGGATAAGTACTGAATTTTTATGATTCAGTTTCTTCATCTGTAAATAAATCAACCACAACCTTACTGTCGAGTCGTGAGGATTAAATAAAGGCACATATGAAATATTACTTATGTTTAACATTATAGTGGACCTGTGAGGGCAAATATTTCAACTCCATAACTTTTCGTTTTAAAAGAGATGCTGGGGCCAGGCACAGTGGCTCACTCCTGTAATCCCAACGCTTTGGGAAGCCGAGACAGGTGGATCACCTGAGGTCAGGAGTTCG